CTAAGTGAAAGAAGTCGGTCTGAAAGGCTACACACTGTGCAATTCCAAGTATTCAACATTCTGGAAAAAGGCACAACTAGGGAGGCAGTGAAAAGCCTAGTGGCTGCCAGGGGTGAGCGGGTAGGGAGGAATGAGTAGACAGCGCAGAGCATTTTTATAGCAGTGAAATCATTCTGTATGAAGCTGTAATGGTGGATATAATGGTGGATACGTGTCATTATACATTCGTCAAAACCCACAGAATTTACAATACCAAGAGATCCTTAAGATAAACTGTGAACTTTGAGTGATAATGTAGGTGCATCATTTGTAGCAGCTATACCACTCTGTGCAGGATATTGATAGCAGAAGAGGCTGTGCTTACTGGGGGCCAGGAATATATGGGAATGCCCTGTACTTTCCTCTCAATTTTTCTGTAAACTTAAAACTTCTCTAAAAAGAGGACCAGCAGGTGGCATGAGGGTTAAGGCAGCTGGATCCTACGTGGCCGACAGTGCAGTTTGAGTCCTGGACCTGGGCGACTGAAAATCATGCTGGGTGCATGTGCATGCATGCCCAAAATCCCAAGAGGAGACTAGAAGAGAAGGGATTGCAGCATGACCATTACCCCTGGCATGGGAGGGGGATGATTTCTCACTTTCCCTCTCCCTCCCTCTCTATCTGTCTCTCTTTCATAAGCACATATGCCCTATAGCAAAAAGAGAAAAAGAAAAGGAAAAAAAAAATCTCTAAAAAATAAAATCTATTTTATTACTATTCTTTTAGAGAGATTTTGATGTAGGGTACATGCACTCACCAGCGAGATAGAGAGAGACAGAAAGTGAGAAATCACCTCCCAGAGGGGATGGACACACTGCAACCCCATTCTCCTCCATTTTCCTCTCAGCATTTTGGACACTCACGCACACTCACCCAGCATGAGTTTCAAGCCACCGGGTCTGGGGCTCTAACCATGGTCGACTATGTGGGAGTCCAGCAATGTAACCCTTATGCCATCTGCTAGTTAGAAAGATCACTTTGGACTTAAAAAGAAACACTACAGGTGACTTTTATTCTAAAATACTACATATAAATAATCAAGATAAAGCATGTAGTTTCTTTCATATGCTTGCTTCCTTTCTTATTCTATTTTTTGATTTGCAGATTCAGAATGTTCTTCATGATTTTTTTCAAAATCCAGAATTTGAGCTTGGTAAGTATGCCTATTACTATAATATTTTTATTCTTATTTCTTTTTGGGGAGAGTAGTTACTGTATTTAGATGAAGAGTCAATATTGGGACAGATGTTATCCAAAGCTCTTACAGATGTAATTAAGCTCTTCTGCTCTTTCCAGATGAAGAAAAACAGGGACACAATCAGTGATTCTCAGTCCTTTCAGTCCAGCACTCCATTTTATTATAAATATTCTTTAATACCCCTTTATTAACCTATGCTATTTCTAGAAAATATAACTTATGTATATAAAATTTAAAAAGAAAGACATAATGTCATAACTGTGATAAAAAGAAATACAAAGAAAGACATGAGAATTTTATGTACTGGGACCAGCAGATGGCATAGCAGTTACATTGCTGGATGCCCACATGGCCAACTGCAGTTCAAGTCCTGGACCTGGTGGCTTTAAACGCACAAAGGGCATGTGTACATGTGTGTTTATGTTTTGAAATAAGAGTAAATGATTAGCTTTGGACTTATACATAGACTCCCCATGACTAGGAAATCTATGAATCCAGACTGTCACAGGTGTGTGTATAAGAGTTTGGATACAATTTGTATTACCTCCTATTACATAATTTTCAGAAATGGTGAACCATTCCTGGTAAAGTGCCAGAATCAAACAAAATACGATCCTGCCTCAAATTTTTACAGTAATTACATTCTTGGAAAATGTAATAGCAAAATTAGACTCTGTGTTTATAGGTAAAATAAATTTAAGCTCTAGACCCAAAATTATTAAAAGCAGATTTTTCAGCTACTTGAATGCCTGGCAGGAGAGAGAGAGTCTTCATTGTGCAGGAATTGCAGGAGTTCTGCCTCTACTCCTACTCCCCATCATTATGGCAACAAAAACTTGCCCTTAAATTTCCACTCTGCTCACCGAGGGGAAGGAGGACAGTACCATCTCTAAGGAGAACAACAGAGATATTTTTTAAAGTTTATTTTTGTCATGATAAAGAACATATGCACACACGAGAGAGAAAGAGAGAGAGAAAGAATGAGAAAGAGAGAGCCAGGCACCGTTGCTGGAATCTGTTACTCCACATCTCCTCCTCCTGGTTTTCCAGCTTGTTAGGATCTTGGGCACCTGTGCCAGGCACATTTCAGGTCAGCTGGGAATCTGGAGTTGGCCTTCTGGCTTCCCACACTGCAGTTTAGCATGCCACCAGCTGTGCCACCAGTGCTGGGCCAGGAACCACAGAGTTTGATGCTTTTGTTTTCAGAAAGATTTCCCAATGTGAGATTAGGCCAACAACAACAAAAATCTGACTTGTTGCGTAAAGAACGAGAGTTTGGGCCCTGAGATGTACATAATTTATATCTAGTTGACTCTTTAAATTTTTTTTTTTTTGGAGAGGTTTTTTGCTATAGGGCGCGTGCGCTCGCCAGACAGAGAGAGAGAGACAGAGACAGAAAGTGAGAAATCACCCCCCAGGGGGGATGGTCATGCCGCAATCCCTTCTCCTCCATTATCCTCTCAGGATCTTGGGCACGCACGCACACGCGTCCAGCGTGAGTTTCAAGCCACCGGGTCCGGGACGCGAACCGCAGTCGACTACGTGGGAGTGCAGCGACATAGCCATTACGCTAACTGCTGGTTCCCGACTCTTTAAATTTTTTTAACCACTTGTGCTACATTGATAACAGTAGATTGAGTTTTCTTCACACTTAAAAATAAAGTATGCTTCTCATTTTTTTAATCACATGATTTGAGCTTTGCCGAACTTCCCTCCTTCTCCCTGTTCTTAGCCTATTGAAAATCTGTAAGCCTTCCTTCAGCTCAACTCCCACTCCTGTTACAGAAAATTTCTCAAATAACTTTATTTATTTATGGGGGTACACACGAAGGTGTAAGAAAACTCTGAGATCCTAATAAAATGAGAAATTCCAGACCATTAGTGATTGTTTCTTCTCTCACCTTCTATACTATAGCATTTATTTTCTATGTCATTCATTGATTCAATATTTATTGACCCCTCACTTAGCTCCAGGTGCAAAGAATGGGTAGAGAATGTAAAGCAGACTGAGACGTGTTTCCTGACCCTAAGTTGCTCCAGGTTTGGTCAGGAGACAGACAAGAACATTTCATTGCACTTGGTTTACATAGTCTTCTGGAGCTTGGGGGAAGATCTAGGTCAGGGATATCAGCATCTATTGCATAAGCTTGTACGAAGGTTTATATAATCCTCTTGTGGCTGCGATAACTGATGTCTTATAATTAGCAATAACAAAATTCAAGGGTGATTGAAGAACCTTTCCTAGGCCTTGCGCTACCCCATGATAAGCAGGAGTTAACTGTCAGAAGTAGGAGAAGCCAGCGTTTTAGTGCTTTCATTATGAGCTTTCATATTGTGTGTATGTCTCTTGGTAAGGTCAATAAGGATTGCATGGTTGTCACATCAAATGGAGGTTTAAAATCTTTATTTGAACTGCCACATTCACCATCACTGACCACTCTGTCGCTCACAAAAACTCTTTGTTCTTGGCTTTTATGATATTGGTCTTTCTTGATTTTTTTTCTTTCATCTTTGCTCACCTCTTAGCATTTTTACTTCTTGGTTCTTCTTTTGTTTGCACCTTAAATGTTTTCCAGAATTTCCTTTTTGACTCTCTTTTCGCTTCACACACTACACATGCTCCCTGGGTTCTCTTTCAAATCTGTCACTGCAGCTGGTGATGTCTAATCCATTTTCCTATTCCAAACTTCCCCCCTGAGTGCTAGATCCTATTGGAAAAGCTCTACAATAAGTGCTAAGTGAAAACAGCAAGTTGCAGATCAAAATGGTCATATTTATATGTAGAAAAACCCAAGCTGTATGTGTGTAGGTCTACAGATACATATGGATATGCACAGAAGGGCTGTCCCGAGGATGACAGTGGTTACTTCCAGGGCCGGGAGGAGTGGGAGTGCTGGTGGGATTCGGAAAGAAGGAAGATACTTACATTTTGCTGCCTATATTTTCGTATTATTTAAATTTTTTTACTAAAAGAACATGTGAATATATTATTTATTTACCTTAAGAAACATTAAAACCAAAAGAAAATTTAAAAAGAAAGTTTGGAGAGTTGTTTTACTTTACACCTGCCAGTATAAATCAACACAGGTGCTTTTGTAGTCTTTTATATTATTGATATGCATATTTGTTTCTACTTTATTCCAACACATTCATTAAAAATATAGACTTGGGACCAGCAGATGGTGTAATGGTTACATCGCTGGACTCTCATGTAGTTGATTGTAGTTTAAGTCCTGGACCCAGCAGCTTAAAAACTCATGCCAGGCGCATGTGGGTGCATGCTCAAAATCCTGAGAGGAGAATGAAGGAGAAGGGATTGCAGTGTGGCCATCCCCCCAGGGGGATGTCTGTCTCTCTGGTGAGCACACACACCCTATAGCAAATTCTCTCTTAAAAAAAAAATATATATATATATATATACACACACATATGTGTGTGTGTATATGTATGTATACATAGACTTGTTTTCTGTAATATTTGGGTTTCTTGGTTAAATAAAGATAGGAAAATAAAATTTAGTAGTAATTGGAATGTTACCCAACTATTAGGTTATCAGAAAAGTCATGATGTATGTTTTCTATGCAAGAGATGCATCATGACTTTTCCAACAAACTGATAGATGTCATTTGCTTTATTGTGATTATGGAAAGATATCAGTTAAGGAATAATTTTATGTTCTACTTTTAAAGGACTATAATATAAATATAAAATATAAATGTATTACGACCAAACTAACTAAAAAATAACTTTATTCCATAATTAGAATCATATTGCAAACAACTGGATATTATTGAGTCAATGGAACCAAGACTGGACAAAATGGAATTTACAGAAGTAAGGAATTACTTTATTTAATATTTGAATCAAATTATTTTGCCAGTTTTAATTGTCTTTTGGTGTATGTTACATGTACATTAAATTAAAATATGAAAATTAATTTTATCTATGCTACAATATATACTTCAAAATATTTTAGCTCCTTTGAAATTAGGTTACATCTTGTAATCAAAAGCATCTTACAAGTTTTTTTTAATCAGCGGCATTCATTATGTGAAAGTATGAAAAACTTCTGCTGACATTTTCTGGTAAGATCAAGAAAAACGAACATCTTACATTTAATGAATTCTGGTTATACAGATAATAATGAGATCTAAAATTTACAAAGCATTTCCTATGGGCCAGACATTGTCCTAAACTGTCCATGAGCCCAGTAATCCTCTCAGCATCTCTTGTCTTTTACTTTTACAGATGAAAACATCAATATGCAGAAAGGTTAAATAACCAGCATATGGTCTCACAACTCGTGAAATAGGGAAATTTGTATTCAGGCAGTTTGATTTCAAAGTCTACATAAGGGGCCAGCAGGTGGCGTAGTGGTTAAGGCATTGGACTCCCACATGGCTGACCATGGTTTGAGTCACAGACCTGGTTGCTTGCTTCCTCACTTTCCCTCTTTCTCTCTGTCTGTCCCTGGTAAGTGCATATTCCATACAGCAAAATTTAAATAATAATAATATATAAAATAAAATAATTCTTAAAAAAAAGTCTATGTAATACTGCAGTGAAGAAAGTATGATTCTATTATAATGCAATAAGCAAAAGAAGTAATTTAGTGGTATCAGAGTTCTAAGTCTTTCATGGCTTATTTTTATATTTTTTCATATTTCCTGTTTCCCCTGTTTTTCTCTAATGAGCCTCAGACTCAAAGCAACTTTCTCTTTCTCCTTTCATACACTTTGGCTCCACTGATGGTGAAGACTGCACAATATACTGTTTCAAAACTGTGTATGAAGTATTTCTGGAATCCTTTTTAAAAGGATTGTTACATCGGGAACCAGCAGTTAGAGTAATGGCTATGTTACTGAACTCCTATGTAGTTGACCGCGGTTCGCATCCCGGACCTGGTGGCTTAAAACTCACACCGGGCGCGTGTGCGTGCGTGCCCAAGATCCCTAGAGGAGAATGGAGGAGAAGGGATCGTGGCGTGACCATCCCCCCTGGGGGGTGATTTCTCGCTTTCTGTCTCTCTGTCTCTCTCTGTCTGTCTGGCGAGCGCATGTGCCCTATAGCAAAAATCTCTCCAAAAACAAAAAAAAGGATTGTTACATCAGTTAAGTATTTGGCAAAGTCTATCTCAGTTATGTTCCAGCTGTGTTTTCTTACAGTCAATATTTGTTTCTTTTCTTTCTTTTTTTTTTTTTTTTGAGAGGTTTTTGCTATAGGGCGCATGCGCTCGCCAGGCAGAGAGAGACAGAGAGACAGAAAGCAGGAAATCACCCCCCAGAGGGGATGGCCACGCCACAATACCTTCTCCTCTCGGGATCTTGGGCACGCACGCACACGCACCCGGCGTGAGTTTAAGCCACCGGGTCCAGGCCTCGAACCGCGGTTGACTACGTGGGAGTCCAGCGACATAGCCATTATGCTAACTGCTGGTCCCAATATTTGTGTATTTTCTATCCATTAGTCACGGGGCCAAACTAACAGCCAAAGATTTTTATATCTCCCCCATAATCTAAAATCCATGTTTTCCCTGCCTTAAAGCGACCCAGGACCAAGTACCAGACAACCAGGGATAGCCTCTTAGCCCCAAAGACCTAAAGCTATTCAAAGTAGCCAATTCTAAATTGTTGACTGCTTTGTCTTGCATTTCCTGTAGAAACCACATAAGGACTCTGGCTTAGGCTTTCCCTTTGATCCTTCTGCCTCTTGACCAAGACCTGATGTTTTCCCTATGGTCCTTGCATGGCATGGCACACTCCCTTCCCTTGAATATTTTAAGTAATCAAAATATTTCAGTAGCATTAGCCTTTTAGTCACCTTCATAAATTAAAATCCCACAAATACAAATGAGACAAGCAACTCAAAGAAAAATTTGCAAAGAAACAAATGATAGCATTAAAATGGTTCAGGAAAAGTCAGTGCATCATTTTAATATAGTAATAGACAATACATAACTTATATTTCTTTGCAAAACACTGATTTTTGGTGCTAATTGACAATTTGTCTTATACCAGTTTTCCTAAAGGTGGACAATTTAGGGCTGCCTCATGGCCTAGTGGCCAGATTCCACAGGGCTGACTGCGGTTTTGAGTCTCAGCTGACAACTTGAAAAACAATCCAGGCACCTGTGTGTGCCTTCCCCAAATCCCAACAGCATGGAGGGAAAAGAAGAGAGGATCACTGCACCACCATGCCCCACTGAGGGGTACTTTCTCTCTCTCTGCCCCTACCCCTGCAAGTGCGCATGCCCTCTGGCAATAAAAAAAAATGGGAAATTTTGGTATAATTTTGAAATTTTTTCATCCATTTTTTTGCTGAGATTTTTTTTTTCATTTTCTCCAGTATGTTCATAATTGTTTGTTAAAAGATTTTTTATAGCTGCTGCTTTAAAACCCTTGTCTGATAACCACAATATCTGGTGACATCTCAGTGTTGACTTGTGCTCATAGTCTTTTTCATTTATGTTGAAATTGTCCTAATTTCTTAGACAATATTTGATCTTCTGTTGCATCTTGGACATTTTGAGTACAATGCCATGGAGCTTATTTACATTTTACGTAAAGGCTTTCTTTGGGGCTGGCAGATGGCATGGTGGTTAAATTTCCCATTCAATCTCTTTTGATAGGTTGGGGGCAGAGGAAGGGAGCCTTGTTACTGATATGTGTACACGAAACTACTGGCTTTCCGTTTGATTTTCTTTGCTACTTCCCAGCAGAAAGGGAGAGGGTCATTTGGCTATGAGCAGGGGTGGAAGTCTAGGCTTTCCACTTGGCCTTTGCTTTTGAGAGTGAACCAGGGGCTGAGGAGGGTGGTTATTATCTATGATTTTTCTTTCTAGATTGCCTCTTTTCTATTCCTGTGGCTAGAGAGAGCAAGCTTTTCTCATTTTTTGTTTTGTTTTGTTTTTGTTATTATTACTGTTGTTTGTTTTGTATGTTCTCATGGGCATTTCTGAGTTGCCCGTTTCTACAGCACCCGTTACGGACACATGAGTCCAGAAGAAAACCCAGGATAACACCATTTGTCGGGTCCTAAGGTCCCTGGCCAATCTGCTGTCTCCTCTCTACCTTTTATAGTCTTCATAATTTGTTTATATCTAATATCTAGGGTTTTCAGTTGTAGTTAAAGAGGAATGAGGAAAAGTGCATCTACTCATTTTGGTCCTTAAAAAAATTTTTTTTAAGTTTATTTATTTATTTCATGGACAAAAAGAGAAAGAGAAACAGGCACCCTAAGCAGGGTCTTGGCACACCACAGCCCCTTCCCCACTCCCCCATCCAGGATCATGGCACGTATGCTCGTATGTCTGCCTGGAATCCAAACCAATCTTCCATGTGGCTCCAGCATTGCAGAGCAGTGCCCTAAAATGTGTGCCAGGTTCTCAAAACATTTTAATGACTACATATATTTTGTGAGGTATAGTATCATAATTTATTTAATGGTATTTTTATTTTTATACATTTATGTGCTCGTTATTCACTATAAAAAAAATCCTAAGTTTAGTATCTGGACATAAATCTTTGTTTACAGCTTGCTGTAGACTGAATTGGGTTCCCGCCCTCAAATTCATATATTAAAGCCCTAAACACTAAGCGATTTTGTATCCAGAGAGAGGACTTTTAAGAGGAAATTAAGGTTAAATTAGGTCATAAGGAGAGAGAGAAAGCAAGCTGCCAGGTCTGGGACTCGAACAGAACATGTGTGAGTCCAGTGCCCTTAACCACCATGCTACCTACTGGCCCCAAGGGTGGATCTTAATCTGATAGGATATGTGGCTTTATAAGAAAACAGAGAGATCACACTTTCTCTGTGTATACACCAAGAAAAGGCCTTGTGCGGACCCAGCAAAAAGGCAGTCAGCTACAGCCCAGGGAGAGAGCCCTTGCCAGACACGGACTCTGCTGACACCTAGATTTGGACTTTTGAACCTCCAGAACTATGAGAAAACAGATCTCTGATTGATTGTTTTTGTTTCTGGTTTTGCTTTTGCTTTTGCTTGTCTTTTTTTTTTTTTTTTTTTTAGAGGTTTTTGCTATAGGGTACATGCACTCACCAGACAGGCAGAGAGAGACAGAGAGACAGAAAGCGAGAAATCAGTATCCGTCCAGACTCCCAGTTACAGAATTATAGGTACATACCATTGTTTAGGTTGTTCAGAATTCAAACTGGACCCACTGTGTAGCCTCAGCCTTGCACGGCAGCACCTTGCCATTTGCACCATTGTAACCAGGTCAATTTATCTTCTTCTGCTTCCTCGTTTTCCCTCTCTATTGCTTTCTCTGTCTCTCTGAAAACCACACACACCTTCTAGTAGAAAAGGAAAAGGAAAAAGAAAGAGTTTGAATAGAATATGTCTTGGTATTTTGCTTTAAAAATACCAAATATTTTTTAATACTTGAGTATGGTGTGCTCTTTTGATATTCAGATTTTTTTTCATTTCTGAGACATTTTCTTGTATTACGTTTTTGAATACATCTTCCATTTTATCTTTCAGCTGTCTATAACAGGGAATCCAATTATCTTTTTTTTAATCCAATTAATTATCTTTGGTGGGATTAGATCTGTCTTTTGTATCTAGTAATTCTTTCTAAATTTATTAATTTTCTTTCTTTCTTTTTTTTTTTTGAAGAGGATTTTGTTATAGGGTGCGTGTGTTTGCCAGATAGACAGAGACAGAGACAGAAAGTGAGAAATCACCCCCAGGGGGGATGGCCACGCTGCAATCCCTTTTCCTCCATTCTCCTCTTGGGACCTTGGGCATGCATGCACATGCGCCTGGCGTGAGTTTTAAGCTACCAGGTCCGGGATGTGAACTGCGGTCGACTATATGG